CGGGCCTCCCTCCACCTCTGCTGGCCTCCGCCGAGCTTCCGCTGTCCTCCGCTGACGAAGCCGCTATCGATTTGCCTCCTGCGGCTTCCACGGTCCCTCCGACGGATTCATTCCCTCGATGAGCCTCTGGGCGGCTTCCACGGCCCCTCCGACCAGCTTCCGCCGAGGGCGGGACAGTTTTTGCGGGTCCGAGGGGCCAAAGGGCGGCCCCTGGACGCCGAAACAGCACTCCACAAAAGCCGCCAGTCGTGCCTTTTGTCGCAGCGGCTGGGGTCCCTTCCTGGAATGCCCTGTTTTGACTGCCGAGCCACGGGCCGCGCCGTCGCCGCCGCACCGAGACGGCACACGCCTGCCGTTCTGTATAGCCCTCGAGCGCCGCGACCCCATGGCTGGCGCAGGCGCACTCCGGGAGCGCCCCCCTGGTGAGAGCAAGCAAGCTGGCCGCCTGTCCCAGGCGCGTAGCCAGTGCAGAATCCCGGGGAGCGGCGCGTAGCCTGCGGCCGAGGGCCTCGGGAAGCTGGGCGAGCTGCCGACGGCCGACGCGGGGCCCAGATCATGACTGCTGGCGGCCGACGAGGTGGGGCCCCTCTGCCGAGACGAAGCGCCCGCCGCTGCCTCGGGCCCAGCCCTGTGGCAGGCTGCCCTCTGCCCTGCGACGCGCCGAGGGCGGCTCACTCGCCCCCGCGCCGCCCCACGAGAAGTGCGCTCACCCGCGGGCTGGCGCTCTGCAGGAGGTAGTCGAGGCCACGCCCCGCGCGCGGGTCGGCCCCGCGCTCCAGCAGCCTCGTGGCCACTTCGTCGCAGCCCGCCGCCACCGCCCTGTCCAGCGCCGTGCTCCCGAACTTCGGGTCGGGCGAGTCCAGGTCCGCGCCGGCCGTGTCCAGGAGCCGCTCCACGACGCCTGGGAGGCACCTGCTGGCAGCGCTGCGCAGCAGCGGGTTGGGGTTCAGCTGGCCGGCGGCGGGGCCGCCTCCGCTCCCGATGCCCAGGTCCAGCAGCAGCAGGGCCACGCGCTCGTCCGAATTCTCCTCGACCGCTGCTCGCAGTCCGGCATCCAGCGGCCGGTGTCCGACGACACCATCCCCGGCCGAGGCGGGCTGGAAGGGCAGCTCTGACAGCAGGCGTCGCAGCACCGCCGGGCGATATCCGCTGCGCGCGGTGTCCTCCAGCAGCAGCGCCAGCTCCGCGGGCCGCAGTGGCGACCCTCTGGCCGAGCGCCACTCGTCCAGGGCCGAGACCGCTGAGTCGTCGGTGGCGCGCAGCATCGAGGTGCGCAGCTCCTCGAACGACACCTGCGCGCCTCCCCTCGCGTTGCCCTGGCTGGCCTGCGAGCAGCGCGCGGGGAACCAGGGCCCCAGCCGGGCGGCCAGGTACTCGACGCCCCGTCCGGCTGCTGGGTCCGCGCCCAGGTCGAGCAGCTTCCTGGCGACGGCCTCCTGGCCTGCATCCGCCGCGCGGTCGAGCGCGGTCGTGCCATACCGAGGGTCACGGGCGTTGACGGCTGCGCCGCAGTCGGTCACAAGCCGCTCGGACAGCCGCACCATCCCCTGAGAGGCGGCGGCCCGCAGCAGCGGGTTTGCGTTCAGCTGCGCGGCGCTGCCCCTCCCGCCGTCGAGGCCCAGGTCCAGCAGCAGCAGCGCCACCTTCTCGTCGCGGTTATCGTTGACCGCTGCCTCCAGCGCAGGGTCAAGAGCGTGCCGGCCAAGATTGGCGGCGAGGTCCTGGCCAGGTGCCCAGTCGAGCCGGACGCCGAGGTCCCTGAGAGCTCCGGCCAGCGCCGCGAGAAGGCCCAGCTGGCGCCCCGTGCGCGCCGCCTCTTCCACGAGGATCTGCAGCTCGCCCCGCTTCAGAGGCCGGCTGGGCCGGCCGCCCTCGCCCCACGCCTCCAGGGCGATTGTAGCCCTCAGCTCATCACTGCCGCGGCGCACCTGGGCGCGCAGCTCCTTGAACATCCCCTCTGCCAGCGCCTCCTCGGCCTCCGCCTTGGACGCCGGCGCCATGGAGCTGAGCGACGGCGCGAGCCGCTCCCGCACGGGCGCCCTGAGGCGAGCAGGCCTACTCCGGCGAGGCGCCGAGGCGGTCCGGGAGCCCCTGCCGTGCACTGCGGCAACGGCGCACAGGCCCAGCGCGGCGATCAGCGGCAGGTCCGCGCCGCCCGGCAGCCGGGCAGCGACCCAGGCCAGCAGGCCCCTCCTCCGCTGCCAGGGCCAGGCCGGCCGGCGGCCGAGAGAGAGCAGCGGCCCCGCCGCCAGCGCGTGCGACAGCACGGAGAAGAGCACCGCCGCCGCGGCCACCACGAGCAGCAGCTGGCCGTCGCTCTGGAAGAGCTCCCGCAGCCTCACGCGCGCGTAGCGCGACGACCGGCCCAGCCAACCGCGCGAGGCGGCACTCCTGGCGGCGCGCGCCTGCCAGGCGGTCGACTGCAGCGCCGCGGCCACCCTGCCGCTGGCGGACAGCGCCGCGGGCGGCCCAGCCAGCCGCCCCGCAGGGATGCCGGCCC